TTCTTCTTCCGAGGAAATCATACTTCCCATGGGTGAAAACTCACCAAACTTTGCACAAAGGTCCAGTCTCATGCCAGATATCCTCAGCTGTAAACTCAAGCCAATAGCCCTGATGGTGGCGCTACAGCAAGCGTCTAAAGTTCAAAACGTTGAAAATTCATAACAAATCAACCTGCAACTTCACAACTTTCATCAAACTGTAGCCCCAATACTGAAGAAACTTTTGTACACTTAAACCTATTAAAAATTATGAAGTTCATCACTCTGTTTTTTTTTTCAAAAACTATAAAACTTCTTAAACCTATCTCCTTCCACAATTTTTGCTCAATTGACACCAAACTTGCTACAGAGCATCTTCAGACTGCCCTACACAAACTACGTTTCTCAGATTTTTGATTTATCAAAAATTGATCCTACAGTGCATCAAAATGTTTGACTGTAAACATATACATGCAAATTCTTGCTAACTAAATCTTCAATGTTCATGAAAAAATGACAACATTCTAGAGTCATGGTAGATGATGTGTGGCAAATTTCAGAATTTTATCTCAAAAACTGAATTTTTGACAGCATTTTGAATTTTGCTCTAATGTGAACAATTGGAGTCAATGTAAAAATGACAATTTTAAACATCAGTTTTTCACTTATGGAACAAATCAATCAATTATTGTTAAAATAAATGACCAACATCTCCATGCTGTCTAGATGCAGTATGTGTATTTTCAGATTTTTGTTTCCATAACTGAATTTTTTACAGTGGTTTGAAATCTACTTTTCCATGCATGGATGGCTGCTAAACCTGCATGTCTGGCTTAGTCAATTTGTGAAGCTACACATGAATTGTCACTGACTAATTAGCTCAGTGAGATAGAAATTGATTCTTAGTCTCAGAGGTTGTGACTTCAATCCTCAGCTGATGCAAAAGGCAGATTGTGTTGCTAAATTCCTAAATGTCTTCCAATTCTTCTGCTTGTTGCTCAGAATTGCCTAAAAATGCCCGGGACCCGACATATCGCTGCGCAGCAACTATAATTTTTTTATTCTTTTTTGTTAATGACCCTGACTGACCCTATGATTCATTTTATGATTTCGAGCAGTTTTGTGCAGCATCTTGACTATAACAGTCTAATGGTGCCTAGTGTAGCTGTGCTTCATCTTATATTAAAATTGTTCATCATTATGTTGTGACTGATTACCAGAAGCTGTTGTAACCCACCCATCCACCTTGTAGTACACCCACCTCATAAAGTACCACTGCACCACTGCAAAAGAGAACATAATTCAGTAAGGGTTACTCACTATAAGGATGTTTTCAAACTAAAGGCTGTGCACTCCCTCACGCGTGTTCTCAGTGGCTGCATTCCATCATTAGGGTGACCATATTTTGATTTCCAAAAAAGAGGACACTCGGCCAGCCACGAGATAGCCTACTTAAATGATACTCGCAGTTTACTCAAAGATGCCTTATAATTTTAATATATTTAAAAATTTATATGTATGGATAGAAAATTCAGTTATATTACAAAATAATATCTCTCAAAGACAGAAATTCAGATAGGCCCCAATAGGGGACACATACACACACTAGAGTGTGGCGATCCGAGCCCGATGGTACCTGACAGGTTGGGCCGGGTTTGGTCAAAAATGTAGCTATAAATTGTATTCGGGCTCGGGTCGGATTCGGTCAGCTTTCAGTGAAAATGCAGTGTAAAAATAAATAAAATCCTATTGTCTGTCCTGTTTATTGCTTGGAGAATGTTATTTACGTGACAACACCTGAACATAACACACACAGACACACATTGGCTGTTTGTTTCTACGTCTCTCCTCGCTGGAAGTCTCGGACCTCCAGCCGCCCGCCTCCGCCTTGATTAAACGCTGAAAATAAAATAAAAGAGGGAAACAGGTTTTTCCTATTTTATCTTATTTTGTTTTATTTCTCCTCTCGCTGGAACCGTCGGACCTCGCGCCTCCCGCTCCCGTCTCAAACACGGAGGTCTCCCTCTCCGCAGCTGAGCACCCACGGCGCACGCCCGGCCTGTTAAATAGCCTGTAACCACTGTGTGACACAAATTCGACTCGGACAGAAATATAATGCCCGTGCCGCACTCTAACACACACACACAAACACACGGAAAACCGGACATTATCATCAGTTTATAAAAGACCCCCGGACGCCCCGGACGGGACGTGAAAAATGGACATGTTCGGGCAAAAGAGGACGTTTGGTCAGCCTAACTCGCCGTACTGGTGAGTCACATGTTGCATACCAGAACAGAAAGGAGAGCAGGTGGCACCTGAGGTGGTGGCATGGATAATCTTGAATCTCTGATGTTCAAGCAGTAGCCAGAAGTACATTAGGCCTATTTCATTAAGTGACACACAGCCGTGGATGAGATGCAACAGGATCTGGATCTTTATCTTTACTCACTTTGTGCTAAACTGGTTTTCCAACTGCTGTTTGTGCAGAGTGGACGAATCCTGATGATATTTCTATAATCATAGGTTCAAGTCTCAAGTTTTTGCACTCAAGTCCCAAGTCAAGGCAGGCAAGTCCTGTGTCAAGTCTCAAGTCAAGACAGGCAAGTCCTGAGTCAAGTGAGTCAAGTCAGGAGTCCCACACAAGTCCAACTGTAATGTTAGCTAAGCACTGGTCTGCTATCTATGTTAATATTTAGCCCCAACTTAGGTTGTGTAACTTCAAATGTTGAACAAAGTTGAAAATTGTTGTGTCTCAATCTTTATTTTCACACGTTTTGGATACTGCAAATCATTTTTTTGTTGACCACTGCATAGTTTTTGTTCACAAAAGAAGATTATTTTAGTTGGGTTTTTTTTTCAACTGGTGCTCAGTAATGTAACATTTGCTCTTCAAGGTTTTCTCCAGCACATTGATTGGATGCTGTTGGATTGATAGAACAAAGTGGATCTGAAGAATTAAGTCTCAACCATAGACTGTATAAATAATGGACATAGCTACTGTGATGTCACCCACTGGTTTGTGGACTGCTGTTTTGAAGGCTCGAGTCCAGCATTTCGGCCATCGCCATATTGTTATCTTGGAGGCAAAAGTGACCATATTTGAACAAGAGTTGTAGCTGTGGAGGAGTGAGAATTGGATTCGACTCATAGGCTGTGGCGACACCTCGCAGACAGTCTGTCACTCAAGTGACCCTGCCCATAAATATGCAGAATTTTGGTCCTTTTTTTTTTTTTTTTTTTTTACTTAAAGATATTTTTTAGGGCATTTTGGCCTTTAATTGATAGGACAGACAAGCATGAAAGGGGGAGAGAGAGAGAGAGAGAGAGAGAGAGAGAGAGAGAGAGAGAGAGAGGGAGTGACATGCAGCAAAGGGCCACAGACTGGAGTCGAGGCTGGAGTCGAGCCCGGACCGCTGCGGCAACAGCCTTGTACATGGGGCGCCTGCTCTACCACTAAGCCACCGACGCCACACAACTTTGGTCCTTGATAAAATGCAAATGGGTGAGTTATATAAAAAGTTACCCCCGTAAATATTTTGTGAATGTTGAAATTAGCCATGGAGAACAAAGCAGTTTTTTGTACCAGGCTGTAAACATGTTTACATCTGCTGTAAAATTGGGCATTTTAACATGGGGGTCTATGGGGATTGACTCTGTTTTGGAGCCAGCCTCTAGTGGCCATTCAGTGAACTGCAATTTTTGGCATTTCTGCATTGGCTTCATTTTTCAGCCTCAGATTGCTGCTTGGTGTCAACTTGCTGGTAATAAATAGTTTTAATGTTAGTGGATTTAGGAAATGAAGTAAAATTAATTGATTTTTTTTAAAAAAAAATGCTTTTCAGTCCTCTGGCTAGGGGAAAGGTGTTTTCAAGTCCAAAAGGTGCGGTTCAAGTGAAGTCACACTTCACATGACGCAACACATATCATTGAAGTTAATAGTACTAAAGTCCAAGTCAGATTGCAAGTCTTTTTTGATTTTGTCAAGCCAAAGGCATCAAATCTATGACTCAGGCCCACACCTCCAGGATTGTGCAGGATTGTGCCATAATGAAAAAGTGCAACAACTTATATATCGAGTGGATTTTGGTTTATAACGTTCTTAAATGAATAGGAATGGGAGTTTGTTGTGTTACCTGACCACTGGCCCATTTAAAATATTTGGCCCCATGAGCCATTTTAAACACACAGACAATATAATCTAGGGTCGAATAGGCCTTACCTTTCCTTTTTTTTAGGGAGCATACAGTTTATTTAATTCAGTTCTGTGTCTTTTTCCAAAGAAACCTTATTTCTAAAGCCGACCAAGAAAAACTCTGCAGCTTATGAGGAAAACTGCAAATCTGAAAAAGACAATAAAAGTAGAAAACATTACACAAACTCAATGACCCCAACTGCATTCATTAATGGCATATCTCCAAGGTACATCTCCAACTTTCCTATCAGATGTTGGTGATGAAAACTTCCAGTGATGGCTTGTGATGCAGACTGGACTAAAGCCAATGCATTTGGGGCATGCGGAAAGTTCTCTCATTTTACCTTACTGCACCTCAAAAAAAAAACAAAAACAAACAAACAATAAACCTGTTGGTGCTGCTGTAGCTTCTCATCCATCATAGTTGATAGGTGAGCCACATCAGCCTACGTGTGTATAGTACAATAAATGCTTCCTTGTCCTGCCATGTCTCTGCCAGGAACCACAGACATAGCTGAATAAATATTTTACCACAAGTAAATTACCCTCCCACTACAGGAGGGCAGGTGTAGTGGAAGCCTCCCAGGATGCACTGGGGCAACAGGTGTATTAACATCACTCTCTGTTTGTCCATGTTTCTGTAACATTACTGCTATTGTTGTTTTCTACAGTGTTCCTACAGGTCATCTGTGGTTGTTTCAGCCAGTCTCAATAGTAAATGTGTTTACAGTGTCAGTGTTGTGTGTAGGTCAGGTGATGGGGAAAGGAGAGAAAGTCTGAGTAAATCTGGTGAATGGTTGGAACATTGTACTGAAAGGGCCTGAGAAACAGGGAACGTGGCTGGAGAGGAGGAGACCACATAGAATATTTGTTCAAAAGTTTCTACCAGAGAAGAAGAGCCCCTAGGCCAGGCACGTCCAAAGTCTGGTCCAGGCCCTGGGGGACTGATTTTTATACAGCTCACAGCTTGTTGTTCACAGTGTACTATATGTGGCCCCCACACAATATTCATTATTTAAGCAAGATCACTTTGCATTTTTTCCATTCACCTGTCGATGGCAGGACCATCAAACAGTCAGTAGACATGCACCAAGTAGGAACTACACAGGTGGAACTGATGTGTTTTCATAAACAGACGGTAAACAAGCATACGAACAGTAACCAAGGAGACATTTCCTGCTAGGTAGCAAACATGGCCACATCGAAGAAGCGTAAAGTGAACAGCAAAGGCTGCCACTTTCAGGAGCAGAATTCGTTTTCACTGAAACAGTTGCGTTTGTCTCATTTATATGGGATTATTTTTAACTGATATGATTAGAGAAGTAGCTGGCCCCCAGGTATTTTCAAATTATTCAATCTGGCCCCTGTTCAAAAAAGTTTGCATACCCCTGCCCTCGGCTTCGTCTGCCCTTTCCAGTGTCACATTTTCCCCAGTTTTGACAGCTTCTCTTTGCAGGATTTGAGAAACACAGTTTTTGAAAACAAAACCTTACTGCAAATATTCAGTGGGCTGCATACTTAACCCAGAAGCTAGAAAACCTTTTGGCGTATGTTCTAGGCGAGCAGCTGCATTGGAATAAAAAGGCACCCTTGTGGCGTCCGGTATCTAGCTATAATTAAAATTTATAGTTCTGTAGTGTAAGTTGTACGATCTCTGGGTGGAAGTTATGTTTGTTGTTTATGCATGCCACTGTAAATATTTGTCTTCACTGCAGAAGATTTTAGATTTGTTCCCAGATGCTTGACAAGTTGTGAATATTTGCTGTGGTCTTAAATATGCAAAAATAACTTCACTCACTGCAAAATCCCAAATTTACAACTCATTCAATTTAAGGTTAACCACAGAACACACTACACAGGTAAGAGATTACATAAAATGGGTTTCACAACATCAGATCAATGCACTTATTGCACACAGCACACCACAGACAATTACATGCATGCTCTCTGGCACTGTACACCAATTAGACAATTTTGGATACAAGTCACAGATCACCTATCACATATACTAGGCTGCCACATCCCCCTATCCCCTCAACTCTGCATCTTAGGAGACATATCATCTGTACAATTACATAATCACACTACAAAACTACACTGTTCACAGCCCTAGTTGTCGCCAAGAAAACAATCCTCCTAAACTGGAAAACAAGAAATCAACTGAACATCACACACTGGAAGAATCTGTTAATAGATCAAATCACAATAGAAAAAATGTCTGCATGAATTAATCACAGAATACCCACGTTTCAACAAAACTTGGTCCACATTTATTCAAAAATCCACCTCTACAAATGCCTGATCTCGATTCCACAGAATCTTGCAACACACCTCGTTTTTGCAAACTGCGGCACCTCTCATTAACCAGCTGGTGATAGCACTAGCCAGTATCAGCCACGGGCATCCATAGATAGAGAAGTGTGACATGCAAGCACATTTACCTTTAATACAATAGATAAATAAAGAAACAAATACAAAGAAGTCATGTGAGAGAACAAGCAGATACAGCACTCATTTGGTGAGTGAAAGCCATTGGTCTGATGTTGGTGATAATGCTGTGCCAGTTGCAATTCACCAAGCAGAGGAAGAAAAGCTGCCAGATCTTGGAAACATCATAAAAGTGCGCAGTGGCCTTGTTTGATTTGAGACCACACTGCCCTGTCAAAATTTGTGCAATATGTTAGTAAAGACTAAACAGTGTAAGCAGTGTACTCCATGTGAGCATAAGACAGAGCATGTGATTTTGTGACAGAATTATGATTCTGTGCTACACAGTTGCTCAAACATCACTACAGTCTGATTAAACTTCAGGCAGAAACCAAATGGTTTTTGTTCTCAAAAAGTTTTCCCATAATGCAAGCTGTCCTGAGGAGGATTTGTCATTTACCACAACTCAGTGGAAAATACTGTAAAATACAAAAGCTCTCCAACTCTTATTTTCAATAACATAAAGGCAGTACCAAATAGGCTAGGTATTACCCTACAGAAATAATTATATGTTTGCTCATTTACAGACATAATCACAAACAATTACTACAAAGCGCAAACAACTTAAGCTTGCCTAACTTGTCAGAGTTACCCATCTAGATATGCAACATTCTTTCTTAAACAAAGCATGATCTTGGCATCCAGTTCAGAACATACCAAGCATCACTGTGCCATCTGATCTGACTCAGACTCCTATAAAATGAACAGTACATCAAGGGAGGCAGCACAGGCCTGCTGGGACTCTTCTCTCCAGCACTGACTGAGCACTACCACTCAACCTCTGAGGACAACTGCCAGTGTCACACCTGGAAAAGGTAAGTGAATGATGATGACAACATGACTGGGGGAAATGGTGATGGTGAACAGTAAATATATATATTGCACAGTACATTTTTATAGTTTTCATGAGATATAATTGGTTAATGCCAGTGAACACAAACAATGTTTAATTTCTCTTCCCTAGCCAATTTGAGCCCTTGTGTTGTTTATCTTTAAAATCCAATTTATATTTTAAGTGTTACAAGGTCCTAATAATATAATAGCCATGTCTCTGGACACCAGCACTGATTTTAACATGGTCCCATTCCCAGCTCCTTTACTCACTGCTCACAAAAAGCCACTGTAAGGCAAGTAAGGGCACTGGCAATACACCGTCTTTTAATCTAATCTACTTTCTGTCCTTCATATTCATGAATGGTAGCATGATTTGGTCATTTTGAAAATTAGAATTTACATTTACATCCATCATTGAGCAAGCCAGTATTTTGGTGTCTGTTCTGATGCAGGCTGTCATAATATCTCTTTTGTCCTTTTCAGCAGGTGTGTGTCCCGTAATGACGATGGCTCGGGGTACGCTGTTGCTCCTGCTGATGCAGACGTTAACTGGATGGTCAGGTAAAATGTTTGACTTATTATCAGGTTACTCATTAAGCTCAATTTTTCTGTGCTTAAAGCTGCATCAATCAATAGTTTTACATTAACAACAGATCAAATGATTTCTTGTAATGTAAAGGGAAACGCAGGTTGGGTCAATACCACAGAAAATTACCATCCCACTCTACAACTCAACCCCATTTTACTAACATCACATTGCATATCATACATTACTATGTGGCTCCAAATCAAGCTAAAACAGTTAAGGATCCGTTCTTTTTACTGTAGCTGAAAACTCTGTACATGAACACACTTGCTTTTCTTTCCTTTTTTTTAATTTAATAAAAATCTCTGTACAGTAAAAAAGCCATATATTTTCAAAGTAGTGGCATGAGTTCTCACCATTTTGGAACATTGTTTTGTAACATATACAATACTACAGAACCCCTAAAGTCCTGACAGGTGACAATTTTTTTATCTTGTGTGCACAAGATAATTACGGAGGAAATACATGGGGCATAGACGTGATGTGTCACCTGGATGGAGCGGGGCAGAGTTTTTTACCCGCCACACTGACTCTGTCTTTGTAGTGTTTGGCTGATACCAGCTGTGTAAGTAAGGTAAAGGAGGTTGTTGGGTCGGTGCAGGGAGGGGAGCAGTGAGACCTGGCATTAGGGGAGTGTCTCTGGGATGCTAGAGATCACTGTCTAGCCTCCTGGAGGTGTCGTGGGACAAACTAGACAAAACAATGGTGAAAGGAAGTACACACCAGATGACCCCAAAGACAAGTTAGTTATCACTGCTCACTGGTCTGTATAGTTAAGCCTTGCCATAATAGCTTATCATAGGGCTTAGGAGGTTATTCACTGAGTGCTGATCCTTTCTCTAGAGCACACATTTCTTGTGTTTATTTGTAATTAATAGAAGTTCTTCAGATGTATAAAACCGGTTGTTGGCTACCTCAAAATTATGTGTCCATTCCTCGATTACCCTGTAAGTTTGTTACAATTGCTGTTGCCTGTTTTTGGAAGGGGGTTCTGGGTGTTTTGGTGTGCGACCCCAAGATTTAAAGCCTGTCTGGGGGGGGGGCACTGTAGTTAAGTTTAAGTAGGAAGTCACATAAAATGGAAGGAGAATGGAATGAAAAGTACAGGTACTCAAAATTTGTACTTAAGTATAGTACTTGAGTAAATGCTTGTAGTGTTTTTTAGCTCTAGTCAATAAATGTTTAATGATAGCACTTGTGACGTATTCTGTTTCTTCTCAATACTATTTTTTTGAGTTACACAAACCAGCTTTTCAATGATCAAGATGTGTACTTAGAACGTAAAAGAAGGTGCCAGTGTGCATTAAAAAAACAAGAAATGAGATTTGTTTTCTCAAACTGTATACCCCCCCCCCCCCAAAAAAAAAAAACCCCACAAAAGATGTATTAATAGAAATTAATTTTCTAACATACTGATGAAATTAATATCAACCAGTCTTTTTATTTTCTGTCATTCTGTCATTTTCTGTCAAGGAAGCTGAGACTTTCATTTAAGTAATCTCCTCCTTTCCTTTCTGCTTGGGGGGGGTCATCACTCAGAATAACCACAAATTTTCAAGCTGAAACTTTTTCAAGTCAAAATTTGTAACGTTAGCATGAAATGCAACCACAAGGGAAACAGACAAACAGAAACATAACCCTGACATATAGACATATAATCATATAATAGCTAATATCCAATATGAAGCTAAAATCATTTTATCAAGTAGCCACAGCTAACATTTAGCAAACAGTGGCCTGATTACATCCATCAGGTACACAACAAGCTAACCGTCCTGTTAGTTGTGTTTATTTCTTTCTCTTTTGGCTAATGTTAGTCAAATGTTCATTTGCCTTTTAGCTGTGGATTTGGTCCACTGAGTGACATTAGTGTACTTCAGCTCTCTGTCATTTTGTGCAAGTCGCAGACACTGGTTTACCAACCATTATCTGTATCTGTTTTAAATCAACTATATTATCATCTGTACTCATATCCGTACTAACCCACTTCCAGATCCATAAAGCAGAACTGGGTGGAGTTTAAATTGGAAATGAGTGGGACCTAACCAGAAGATGTTAATTGTAACCTGAAACTGGTATGGGTTGATTAGAAATTGCTTTATTTCTAATTTATTAGAAAACTATTTGCAGAATAATCAAGATTGAGCTTCAGATCATTTTTGATCTCAACAGTAAGAGATGGAATACAGTGTCATACCATTGTTCTGATGATCAATAATTTATAAGGCTCAATAGTCCATAAAATGTTCCTTTGGATAGAAAGCCCATTTGGATGACAGCTCATTATCCTGAACACAAACGTGCATTGCAAAGAAGGGCCATCTTTCTGAAGATAGGCTACACGGTCTCACAAACAGGAGCACACAGCTAAATAGTGACTGGACCTTTCCACAATGGCAAAGGCATTACTCACCCTACTCTCTGCCTCTGACTTGATTAGCCTGATATTCTTAATACCTTAACCTTAACCAATCTCAGCAAACCAACCAACAAAGTACTAGCCAATAAGAGGGACAATCACCCCAGTTGAAAGGTCCAGTGACATCATTCTACATAATAATTAGCCATGTGCTCCTGTGCTGGAGAGTACCACTGGAGAAATAGCCATTTGGGGCCATGGGCATTTCATTTCAGGATAGTGTCCTGTTATACAAATGGTCTTTTAGTCAAATGGGATATTCATGGACTACTGGGGCCATCGCAAAAAGGGGCAGTCCCCTTGAACACAACTACTGAAATGAGGACTTTGCTTCATCATGAGTACGGTTACTGACTACTCGGATTATACTCGAATGTTATTTCTGTAAAGTACATTATTGGTACTGTATACTTGATCCAAGAATGCTGCTAAACGCTTCTTACCAGAGCTTGTTTGCTGGAAAGAGCAGCATGTGATTTTATACTGGGGGAGGGGCAAGAGTAGTGGGACTAACCTGACTAAATGAAAAAACAAGTAAGAAGCTGCAGAGAGTCTGTGTGGGATTGCCACAATTTTGTGTTGAACTTTACCTTATATTTATATAATGAAATGTGTTTCACTACCAAAACAGACACTGATCATTTGTTAAGGACATCATCTGATTTATCCCATTGATATATAATGTCTTTATTTTCACAGTTTCTCAAACACTTGGACCCTCAGTGAGACTGGTCAACTCTAACAGCCACTGCTCTGGCAGAGTGGAGATCTTCCACAATGGCCAGTGGGGAACGGTGTGTGACGACTTGTGGAATCTGAATGACGCTCAGGTGGTTTGTCGACAGCTGGGCTGTGGCAGGGCTGTGGAGGCACCACAAAGGGCACGTTTTGGACAAGGCACTGGACAAATCTGGTTAGATAACCTTCAGTGTTCAGGCAGTGAGTCCTCTTTACAAGACTGTCCACATGGCGGATTAGGGAACCACAACTGTGCTCACTCTGAGGATGCTAGTGTCATCTGTGAAGGTAAGTGTGTTCCCACACAGTAAGCAGACTTCAGTT